ATTCCTCAGCACCACATAAGCAAAAAGAAAAAAGCTAGTAGTGGTGCTGTGGCTCAACTGGTAGAGCGCTAGTCAAGCTGAAGAGCTGAGGGACAGCACCCAGGCCCAGAGTTCAGGCCCCACGACCGGACCCAAAAAAAAAAAAAAAAATCTGAAAAGTAACTGAAACAATAAAGGTTGGGGGTGTAGTACAGTACTTGCCTAACAGGTACAAGGCTCTGAGAGCAAACCTTAATGAATAATAATAACTGTACTGAACCATTAAAATATCTGCATCATGGCAACAGTGGAAAAATCAAGATGGGTCTTCTGAAGCAGTTTCCACATTGAAGAAGTCAAAGTAAACCATATACACACAAATTTTTGCTGCTTATCTATTCTAGGAATTTAATGGTTTTGTATTTGTTGTGGCTAGTTACTGCTATTGATGTTAGAGTTATTGTTTTGGTTTTCAGTTTCTAAGGTAGTTTTGGAACAAATAGTGTAAAGGAAAACAGGAGTTTCACAAAAATAACTATTTTTCTCATCAGAGCAGGAAGCTTCTTGGAAAGGTTAAAAAAAAATAGGATGCAGAACTTTCCAAGCAATCATGGCAACAGAATGCGAAGTAGAAATTGTTTAACAGAGAAAGAGACATGAAGAGCAAAAACCTGGACTAATGGGCTCAGTCAACAACTGCCCCTTACAGAACGAGAACAGTACAGTGTAACACAAAACATAGCCCACTGCCAAGAGAAAACATTAAGAGGAATAGACAATTCTTAAATGACAAGAAAGAACTAGCAATCTCTGAGATCCATTTTCTTCATCTGTAGAATACAAATATAACATTAGGGCTCTATAGAAGGTAACAGAAGTGAGAGACTCCAACATATTTACCAGCCCATCACTGATCCTCAGGGGGAAAAAAAAAATCAATGGCTCTCCCTACCTCCTAAAGTCAATTTTACAGAATATTACAATGAAAGGGAGGGAAGCTCAGTATCACCTAAAATGAATAAACCAAATGATTTTGAGAAAGCTGAGATCTGAGAATCAAGGTTTGAAGCCAGCCCGGGCAGAAAATTCCCTGTGAGGCTCTTATCTCCAATGAAACACTCAAAAACAGGGAGTGGCACTGTGGAAGTAGTAGAGCTCTAGCCCTGAGCAAAAAGAGCTCAGAGACAACACACCCAAGCCCAGAGTTTAAGCCCCACAACGGACAAAAGTACAGCCTGGAGGCATGGTTCAAGTGGTAGAGTGCCAGACAATGAGCAAAAACAAGTATCAGGGAGTTCAAGTCCTGAACTCAAACCAAAAAAATAAAAGACAGCAAGATATTATCATGTCAAAAACCAAGTACAGTGAAATAGCTTCAGTGGAAACGCCTTGCAATGCTACAACAGGGACTCCTTCCCTTACCAACATCAGAACAAAAAGAGGGTCCTCCTCACATTTCTTCAAATTGCTGGAAAGTATGCACCTAATCTCCCCTCCCCCCCTCCGCCCCCTCCGTGGAATTTTAGGTTAGCAAACTCAAAAAGAAATGTGTGTTCCACACCTTGTACGACTAATATATGCTAATTAAAAAAAAAGCTTCACACACACACAAAAAAAAAATCTGTGCTCCAAATTAGTCATAAAAATCAAAACTGATCTCAAAACATTTTCTCACAGGAACGATGATAACAGTTAAATTTTCAAGCTAGCCCTCACAGCAATTAAACAACTAAATACCTACCATTCTTAACTGATTTTTTTTTTCTCAATCTAAGTACAATCTAGAAGCAACTTTATAGATTGATCTGAATTTTAAGAAAAAGCCTACAGCAATAGTGCTCAATTGCCTATGGGGGGGAAAAAAAGAAAAAGAAAAATAGGTGTCCTGAGATTCAAACAATTTATACAAAAACTTTTAAACTATAACTGAGGAAAGAACAGTCAATGACAGCTGTGAGTTGCCTTAACAGAAAAACACACAACTGCAGTAAGAGTAATTATCAATGAGGGAACAGATGAGACAGCATGAAAGGAAATGTACTCATTACCTGACACATGCAAATGTAACCCCTCTATATATCACCTCTATACTAACAATAAATTCTTTAAAAAAAAAACAAAACAAAAAACGAGTAACTCTCAGAATTCAGAATAACTGACTCGCTTAACAAGCTTTATTTAAGTCCTATCCTGTGCCCCTCCAACAGGAAATTGTTCTGAAGCTAAGCACACAGCCCTAGGAATACTTCCATCCAGCCCTAATGAATCACACACCAAATCCTAGTGCTTTGGGACTCACCTATACCTACATCTATTGCCTCACATCACCTCCATCTCAGAATTAACACACCTAGTTTGTTCTTAGTACTCTCAGTACTGTGAGGGAAAGAAGAAATTCACATTTATGAAGTACTTGCTGTGCTCTCCCTTGATTTTTACAACTGTGTAAGATAGGGAAGCATCATCCCCAATTTACACATTAAGAAAACGATGCTAAGTAATTTGCCCACAGCACCTGTAAAGAGAAGCCATTCCTCTGAACTCTACTCACTACCTACAGTAGTTGCTCCCCAGCCTCAAGGAAATAAGTGAATTAGGTACCACTGGACAGCTGACCACTTTCCCATCCATCACTTGTTATTCTAGTTCAGCAGTTCTGACAGCAAGTCATAGAGAACATAACCCATGGACTAATCATTTGATATTATTAATTTGGTATTCAAGGAATGCTCTTTAAAAAAAAAAAAAAGAGGGGGGGGATAATAATGTCCCTGGAGGTGAATCTGAGCTGTTGACATCATTTCCAAACTCCTTTTCAGAGACTCTTAAGACTTCATTTTTCACTTGCCATCTCAGTGTGGCTAATTTTAATTTCAAAAAGGTACCTTGCAAAACAAGGTTTTTCTCCTAGCACAGAAGACCTCTCTGCATGTCCTTGAATTTCAATAAATTCAATTTTATCCAATAATCTGCATAACTTCCAAAACAATTGTTAACACTGCAGTAAAAAAAAAAAGTTCTATCATAATGAACTGTGAACTAAATCTTGACTCAACTGTAGCAAAAATGGCAACAAAATCTATGTTTAGACAAATTCTCTACCTAAAATTTTCCATTACAAGCTTGGAAAGGAAAAAGAGAAAACCTATAGACTCAACATTTTAAATGTTTCTTAATTGAACATGATGATAGGTAATTATCAATAACGCAGTCGAGCCAAAAATCTATCATGTAATTGCCACAAAATACTAATATGGTAAAACACTCCCTTTAAATTTAGAGAAAAACAAGATTAAAAGAATGATCTAGCTTCTGGAGTTTCCATTCACCCCCAAGAGAAGATTCCAAGAGGGATAAGGCTCTCATATGAAAACAAGGTTGTTTTGTTTTTGTTTCTTGAAAACAAAACAAAAACACAACCAGGTCTACAAGACACACTAAGCCCTGACAACCCCGTGCAGCAATGCTTCCCATTCTAAGGTGTATTTCAAATACGGAAGGTGAAACAAAAATCAAAACGGATCCAACCATCTGCGCCCCGATGTCTGCAAAAATTTTGAACTGGGGGGGGATGGGGGGGGATAAAAAAAAAAAGAAATGATGTCAACGGTTTGGTTTTGGGTGTTTGGGTTGGTGGTGGTGGTTGTTTTTCTGGTAAGATTTCCGGGAGACAGATCAAACAGCTTAACCTCGGGGGGCTCCATCAACTCAGATGCAGGAACTTCTCTTTTTTTTTTCCTTTTTTTAATCCAATCGATGCTAGAAATTGCAAATGCTCAAGGTTTAGCTATATATATATATATTTTTTTTTTTGGATCAACTGTCTCTCCCCCTCCCCCGGCCCCCACCCCTTCTCC